CAAGTGCTGACATGTATCTGCACATGTAAGCCTCTCATTGGCCCACGTGGTGCTGCCCACGTGGGTATGTCTCCTCCTCTTGGGCCTGTGGGTGCGTAATTGGGCCTGCTGCATGTGGCCCTAAGAGGTCCCAACATTACTCCCCCCTCGGTGTTCGGTTGACGAACTGGTTTGGGAGTCTTGTTAGCAAGGTGTTTGACCCTGAGGATGAGGAGTGATGTTTTATGTTCATGTCTGCCCTCACGCACGACCGATCTAGGCGGCCTGAAGCCATCGCGGCCAAGTCTGTTGTGCATGTGTATGCCGGCTTTCTATCGAGCAAGCGTGGGGGAGCTGGTGTTAAAACCAGCCGAGCTCGGTGCATGTGTTTTGGGCCATAGCTGAGGTAAAAATGCATGACACAGAGTCATGTGTTATAGCTGTAGCTGAAGTGAAATAGATGACTCGGGGTCACTATGGCCGGAGCCGAAGTGAAGCATGTGACACTGGGTCACTGTGGCCTGAGCTGAAGTAAAAAGTGTGACGCTGGGTCACTATGGCCGGAGCCGAAGTAAAATATGTGACTCGAGGTCACTATGGCCGGAGCCGAAGTAAAATATGTGACTCGGGGTCACTATGGTCGGAGCCGAAGTAAAATATGTGACTCAAGGTCACTATGGCCGGAGCCGAAGTAGAACTAGTGACTTGGTGTCACAATGGCCGGAGCTGAGGTAAATAATGATGACCGGAGTCATAGTGGCCGGAGCCGAGGCATTATGACCTAGAGCTAGGAAACTGAGGCGACGACCTGAAACCAGGAAGCTCAAGAGTGACGACCTGGAAGTATGAAGCTCAGGAGTGACGACCTGGAAGTATGAAGCTCAGGAGTGACGACCTGGAAGCAGGAAGCTCAGGAGTGACGACCTGAAACCAAGAAGCTCGGGAGTGACGACCTGGAAGCAGGAAGCTCAGAAGTGACGACCTGGAACCAGGAAGCTCAGTCATGTTGGATTTCAACTCATAATTCTTCACTGTATTTGGACGAGCTGGGCTCGATATTCAACTTCCCACTTCCCCTCGGCCTGGTCGGCACTACTATATTGCTTAGAGCGGGTGAGTTTCTAGTCGC